ACAAGCATATAATTAATATTTTATTATTTTATTGTTTCCCTTCGACGTGACTTTACCGAAAGAGCTAAGCATATAATTAATATTTTATTATTTTATTGTTTCCCTTCGACGTGACTTTACCGAAAGAACTAAGCATATAATTAATATTTATTATTTTATTGTTTCCCTTCGACGTGACTTTACCGAAAGAACTAAGCATATAATTAATATTTTATTATTTTATTGTTTCCCTTCGACGTGACTTTACCGAAAGACCTAAGCATATAATTAATATTTTATTATTTTATTGTTTCCCTTCGACGTGACTTTACCGAAAGAGCTAAGCATATAATTAATATTTTATTATTTCCATTCGACGTGACTTTACCGAAAGAACTAAGCATATAATTATTATTCTTAGACTATTTTTATTGTTTCCCTTCGACGTGACTTTACCGAAAGAACTAAGCATATAATTAATATTTTATTATTTTATTGTTTCCCTTCGACGTGACTTTACCGAAAGAACCAAGCATATAATTAATATTTTATTATTTTATTGTTTCCCTTCGACGTGACTTTACCGAAAGAACTAAGCATATAATTAATATTTTATTATTTTATTGTTTCCCTTCGACGTGACTTTACCGAAAGAACCAAGCATATAATTAATATTTTATTATTTTATTGTTTCCCTTCGACGTGACTTTACCGAAAGAACTAAGCATATAATTAATATTTTATTATTTTATTGTTTCCCTTCGACGTGACTTTACCGAAAGAACTAAGCATATAATTAATATTTTATTATTTTATTCTTTCCCTTCGACGTGACTTTACCGAAAGAACTAAGCATATAATTAATATTTATTATTTCCCTTCGACGTGACTTTACCGAAAGAAACTAAGCATATAATTAATATTTATTATTTCCCTTCGACGTGACTTTACCGAAAGAACCAAGCATATAATTAATATTTTATTATTTTATTGTTTCCCTTCGACGTGACTTTACCGAAAGACCTAAGCATATAATTAATATTTTATTGTTTCCCTTCGACGTGACTTTACCGAAACTAAGCATATAATTAATATTTTATTGTTTCCCTTCGACGTGACTTTACCGAAAGAGCTAAGCATATAATTAATATTTTATTATTTATTGTTTCCCTTCGACGTGACTTTACCGAAAGAACTAAGCATATAATTAATATTTTATTATTTTATTATTTCCCTTCGACGTGACTTTACCGAAAGAACTAAGCATATAATTAATATTTTATTATTTTATTGTTTCCCTTCGACGTGACTTTACCGAAAGAACTAAGCATATAATTAATATTTTATTATTTTATTATTTCCCTTCGACGTGACTTTACCGAAAGAACCAAGCATATAATTAATATTTTATTATTTTATTGTTTCCCTTCGACGTGACTTTACCGAAAGAACTAAGCATATAATTAATATTTTATTATTTTATTGTTTCCCTTCGACGTGACTTTACCGAAAGAACTAAGCATATAATTAATATTTATTATTTCCCTTCGACGTGACTTTACCGAAAGAACTAAGCATATAATTAATATTTTATTATTTCCCTTCGACGTGACTTTACCGAAAGAACTAAGCATATAATTAATATTTTATTATTTCCCTTCGACGTGACTTTACCGAAAGAACCAAGCATATAATTAATATTTTATTATTTTATTGTTTCCCTTCGACGTGACTTTACCGAAAGAGCTAAGCATATAATTAATATTTTATTATTTTATTGTTTCCCTTCGACGTGACTTTACCGAAAGAACTAAGCATATAATTATATTTTATTATTTATTGTTTCCCTTCGACGTGACTTTACCGAAAGAACTAAGCATATAATTAATATTTTATTATTTTATTGTTTCCCTTCGACGTGACTTTACCGAAAGAGCTAAGCATATAATTAATATTTTATTATTTCCCTTCGACGTGACTTTACCGAAAGAACTAAGCATATAATTATTATTTTATTATTTTATTGTTTCCCTTCGACGTGACTTTACCGAAAGAACTAAGCATATAATTAATATTTTATTATTTTATTGTTTCCCTTCGACGTGACTTTACCGAAAGAACTAAGCATATAATTAATATTTTATTATTTTATTGTTTCCCTTCGACGTGACTTTACCGAAAGAACTAAGCATATAATTATTATTTTATTATTTTATTGTTTCCCTTCGACGTGACTTTACCGAAAGAACTAAGCATATAATTATTATTTTATTATTTTATTGTTTCCCTTCGACGTGACTTTACCGAAAGAACTAAGCATATAATTAATATTTTATTATTTTATTCTTTCCCTTCGACGTGACTTTACCGAAAGAACTAAGCATATAATTAATATTTTATTATTTCCCTTCGACGTGACTTTACCGAAAGAACTAAGCATATAATTAATATTTTATTATTTCCCTTCGACGTGACTTTACCGAAAGAACCAAGCATATAATTAATATTTTATTGTTTCCCTTCGACGTGACTTTACCGAAACTAAGCATATAATTAATATTTTATTGTTTCCCTTCGACGTGACTTTACCGAAAGAGCTAAGCATATAATTAATATTTTATTATTTTATTGTTTCCCTTCGACGTGACTTTACCGAAAGAACTAAGCATATAATTAATATTTTATTATTTTATTATTTCCCTTCGACGTGACTTTACCGAAAGAACTAAGCATATAATTAATATTTTATTATTTTATTGTTTCCCTTCGACGTGACTTTACCGAAAGAACTAAGCATATAATTAATATTTTATTATTTTATTATTTCCCTTCGACGTGACTTTACCGAAAGAACTAAGCATATAATTAATATTTTATTATTTTATTGTTTCCCTTCGACGTGACTTTACCGAAAGAACTAAGCATATAATTAATATTTTATTATTTTATTGTTTCCCTTCGACGTGACTTTACCGAAAGAACTAAGCATATAATTAATATTTTATTATTTTATTGTTTCCCTTCGACGTGACTTTACCGAAAGAGCTAAGCATATAATTAATATTTTATTATTTTATTGTTTCCCTTCGACGTGACTTTACCGAAAGAACTAGGCATATAATTAATATTTTATTATTTTATTGTTTCCCTTCGACGTGACTTTACCGAAAGAACTAAGCATATAATTAATATTTTATTATTTCCCTTCGACGTGACTTTACCGAAAGAACTAAGCATATAATTATTATTTTATTATTTTATTGTTTCCCTTCGACGTGACTTTACCGAAAGAACTAAGCATATAATTAATATTTTATTATTTTATTGTTTCCCTTCGACGTGACTTTACCGAAAGAACCAAGCATATAATTAATATTTTATTATTTTATTGTTTCCCTTCGACGTGACTTTACCGAAAGAACTAAGCATATAATTAATATTTTATTATTTTATTGTTTCCCTTCGACGTGACTTTACCGAAAGAACTAAGCATATAATTAATATTTTATTATTTTATTGTTTCCCTTCGACGTGACTTTACCGAAAGAACTAAGCATATAATTAATATTTTATTATTTTATTGTTTCCCTTCGACGTGACTTTACCGAAAGAGCTAAGCATATAATTAATATTTTATTATTTTATTATTTCCCTTCGACGTGACTTTACCGAAAGAGCTAAGCATATAATTAATATTTTATTATTTTATTGTTTCCCTTCGACGTGACTTTACCGAAAGAACTAAGCATATAATTAATATTTTATTATTTTATTGTTTCCCTTCGACGTGACTTTACCGAAAGAGCTAAGCATATAATTAATATTTTATTATTTATTGTTTCCCTTCGACGTGACTTTACCGAAAGAACTAAGCATATAATTAATATTTTATTATTTCCCTTCGACGTGACTTTACCGAAAGAACTAAGCATATAATTAATATTTTATTATTTCCCTTCGACGTGACTTTACCGAAAGAACTAAGCATATAATTAATATTTTATTATTTTATTGTTTCCCTTCGACGTGACTTTACCGAAAGAACTAGGCATATAATTAATATTTTATTATTTTATTGTTTCCCTTCGACGTGACTTTACCGAAAGAACTAAGCATATAATTAATATTTTATTATTTTATTGTTTCCCTTCGACGTGACTTTACCGAAAGAGCTAAGCATATAATTAATATTTTATTATTTTATTGTTTCCCTTCGACGTGACTTTACCGAAAGAACTAAGCATATAATTAATATTTTATTATTTCCCTTCGACGTGACTTTACCGAAAGAACTAAGCATATAATTAATATTTTATTATTTCCCTTCGACGTGACTTTACCGAAAGAACTAAGCATATAATTAATATTTTATTATTTTATTGTTTCCCTTCGACGTGACTTTACCGAAAGAACTAAGCATATAATTAATATTTTATTGTTTCCCTTCGACGTGACTTTACCGAAAGACCTAAGCATATAATTATTATTTTATTGTTTCCCTTCGACGTGACTTTACCGAAAGAGCTGAGCATATAATTAATATTTTATTATTTTATTGTTTCCCTTCGACGTGACTTTACCGAAAGAACTAAGCATATAATATTTTATTATTTTATTGTTTCCCTTCGACGTGACTTTACCGAAAGAGCTAAGCATATATACGGGGGGGGGGGGGGAGTCCTTCGACAAAAAAAAGTCGTCAGCACTTGTACACGGGGCACTACGGAAAAAACAACGGAGAAGCGACACACGCTGCGAACACGATAACAAACGGAACCGTTAATGGCCTCAAAAAGTCGAAGAGCCCCGCACGCTCGTTCGCCCCGGTTCTCAACGGCTACGCCCTGGAATCCTTCCCCAGGTGGTTGTCGCAAGTTCTCAGAAGTGTTCACATTTGCTCGGAAGCCCCCTGTATACAGGGCACGCAACACACACACACACCCCCTCTTTTGACGAATACAGATACGAGAGATAATGCAAATCCTTCCACGGCACCCAGAGAGAGTCCAGTACCCCCCACCCCAATTTTGATTCGACGCATTTTATTCAGCGATACAACAACAAAAAAACGACGCGAGGTGGGTTTGGCCATCAAGCACCCCAAAGTACCGCAAATTAAACACCGCGGTTAAACACAAATCCGTGCCCGGCATCGCGAGTCTTAAGACTTTACAAGTGCCCATCCAACCAACGTATTAAGAAGCCACGGGGTTCCCATCAACAACACAGCCCGGTGGCGTTTGCGTGTCTCTCTCATCGTCATCGTCACGGTCAAGAGCGCAGAAGGGTGGTCAACACATCTACGCCTCCGTATAAGATCTGGCTGTCACCTGATGAAGCCGGTTGCAATCACTGGCGAAACGTCACGTTACTCGGTTTGTAAATGTTGTGGCTTCGCTCTCGCACGTACCGGCGCGCTGTACTAGTCCACTACACTGTACACTACACTACCATACACTACACACTATACACTACACATTAGTGCTGTACTAGTATACTACACTATAACCTACACAATACACTACACATTAGTGCTGTACTAGTCTACTACACTATAACCTACACTATACACTACACTACTATACATTACACTACTATACACTACACTGTACACTACCATACACTACACTATAGACTAGACTACACTACACATTAGTGCTGTACTAGTATACTACACTGTAACCTACACTATAGACTACACTACACATTAGTGCTGTACTAGTATACTACACTGTACACTACACTACCATACACTACACCATAGACTACACTACATATTAGTGCTGTACTAGTATACTACACTGTACACTACACTAGCATACACTACACTATACACTACACATTAGTGCTGTACTAGTATACTACACTGTACACTACACTACCATACACTACACTATACACTACACATTAGTGCTGTACTAGTATACTACACTGTACACTACACTACCATACACTACACTATACACTACACATTAGTGCTGTACTAGTATACTACACTGTACACTACACTACCATACACTACACTATAGACTACACTACATATTAGTGCTGTACTAGTATACTACACTATAACCTACAGTATACACTACACATTAGTGCTGTACTAGTCTACTACAATATAACCTACACTATACACTACACTACTATACATTACACTACTATACACTACACTGTACACTACCATACACTACACCATAGACTACACTACACATTAGTGCTGTACTAGTATACTACACTGTACACTACACTACCATACACTACACCATAGACTACACTACATATTAGTGCTGTACAAGTATACTACACTATAACCTACACAATACACTACACATTAGTGCTGTACTAGTCTACTACACTATAACCTACACTATACACTACACTACTATACATTACACTACTATACACTACACTGTACACTACCATATACTACACAATAGACTACACTACACATTAGTGCTGTACTAGTATACTACACTGTAACCTACACTATAGACTACACTACACATTAGTGCTGTACTAGTATACTACACTGTACACTACACTACCATACACTACACATTAGTGCTGTACTAGTATACTACACTGTACACTACACTACCATACACTACACTATACACATTAGTGCTGTACTAGTCTACTACACTATAACCTACACTATACACTACACTACTATACACTACACATTAGTGCTGTACTAGTATACTACACTATAACCTACACAATACACTACACATTAGTGCTGTACTAGTCTACTACACTATGACCTACACAATACACTACACATTAGTGCTGTACTAGTCTACTACACTATACACTACACTACTATACATTACACTACTATACACTACACTGTACACTACCATACACTACACTATAGACTACACTACACATTAGTGCTGTACTAGTATACTACACTGTACACTACACTACCATACACTACACCATAGACTACACTACATATTAGTGCTGTACAAGCAAACTACACTGTAACCTACACTATACACTACACAACACATTAGTGCTGTACTAGTCCACTATACACTACACTACTATACATTACACTACTATACACTACCATACACTGCACTATAGACTAGACTACACTACACATTAGTGCTGTACTAGTATACTACACTGTACACTACACTACCATACACTACACTATACACTACACATTAGTGCTGTACTAGTATACTACACTGTAACCTACACTATACACTACACATTAGTGCTGTACTAGTATACTACACTGTAACCTAGACTATACACTACTATACGGACATATTGACGTGATGTACCCAAAAAAAACCTCTATTAAGGATGCCATTGGTCGCGAAAGCCTACGTGTTAAACTGGCTTGGAAATGTTAACTCCCTCGCCTGGTATACAGGAGATCGTGGGTTCCATCCTGACCCCGGACGCCGCCTGCTGCTGCTGCCGCTGTATATTTGAAGTCTGCGTCTCTCTCTCTCACTCTCCTACGTGGTGGACACATTCAGAATCAACAGCACCACCACCACCACCACCACCCGCGCGTTTACAGAGAATCCGATCGCCGCTATGAATTTCCGCAAGTGACTACGATGGGCCAGGTAGCGGCTTCCGAAGAATAAATAATAGAACGCTAAACAGCTCTCCGTGCGGGGGGGGGGGAGAAGAGAGGGGCCCATAACTGGCAAAAAAAATAATAAAAACGGCAAGTTAATCATCTTCATTGTTCTAAGGCGTCTCCCCCTCCGGTCTACAACACCGTTTTGAGACGAGGCTCAAAAGAAAGCCGTCTCCGGTGAGGACCAATCAGCTTCAAAGCACAATGCATTTGATGAAAATCAAGAGCGTCAATTTTTAACTGAAGCTGCCGTGACTGCTGGGATCCGTAGCAAATTTGGTTCTGTCGGCAAAGTCATCGCGTAGGTAGAAATAAACTGGCAGATCACGGCGTTCCGCCTGATGGCGATTGCTTGCGTTGCGGACACAAAACTACGAGAAGGGGTTTCTCCCCCATTTGTACACGCTTTCATTATAAACTAGCCTTCTTACACGCTTTCATTTAACTCTGTTGTTGTTATAAACTAGTCTTCTTACACGCTTTCATTTAACTCTGTTGTTGTTATAAACTAGCCTTCTTACACGCTTTCATTTAACTCACTCTGTGTTGTTGTTGTTGTTATAAACTAGTCTTATACACTTTGATTTAACTCACTGTTGTTATAAACTAGCCTTGTTACACGCTTTCATTTAACGCTGTTGTTGTTATAAACTAGTCTTCTTACACACTTTGATTTAACTCAATGTTGTTATAAACTAGTCTTCTTACACACTTTCATTTAACTCACTGTCTGTTGTTGTTATAAACTAGTCTTCTTACATGCTTTCATTTAACTCACTGTCTGTTGTTGTTATAAACTAGTCCTCTTACACACTTTGTCTTCTTACACACTTTCATTTAACTCTGTTGTTGTTATAAACTAGTCTTCTTACACACTTTGATTTAACTCTGTTGTTGTTATAAACTAGTCTTCTTACACGCTTTCATTTAAGTCACTCTGTGTGTTGTTGTTATAAACTAGCCTTCTTACACGCTTTCATTTAACTCTGTTGTTGTTAAAAACTAGTCTTCTTACACACTTTGATTTAACTCACTGTCTGTTGTTGTTATAAACTAGCCTTCTTACACGCTTTCATTTAACTCTGTTGTTGTTATAAACTAGTCTTCTTACACGCTTTCATTTAACTCACTGTTGTTGTTGTTATAAACTAGTCTTCTTATACACTTTGATTTAACTCACTGTGTGCTGTTATTATAAACTAGTCTTCTTACACACTTTGATTTAACTCACTCCGTCTGTTGTAGTATCCTCAAATCTTGTAACCGAATTGTAACCCACTTCCCAATGTGCTCTCGACTGCAAACTTGCTATACCTATGTCAAACTGATGACAAAACTATATTCTATCATAAAAAAAAACTAAACACTTTCACACTTTTTTTTCTTTCATATTTTTACGTTTCGGCTCGAGTCTAACGGTCCACGCTCAAACCAACGTCGGCTGTGAATCGCCACGGTCCCCTTACGTTGTGCCAAGCTTCGGGGGGGGGGGGGGGGGGGGGGAGGGGAGGGCCCCCCACTTCCTGGAGCCGTGGAGATCTCCCGTTACTACCAGCAACGCCGTACGTTTCATTATAAAGCTCGTGTGTGTTTGTTTTAAAAGAAAGACGTTTTAAATATTATCACTCATTTCCGGCAACTAAAACGGCCGTGTCGAGACGTCAAAACGCCAAAACGACTGGAACCCTTTTTTTTTCCCTTACACGAGGAATCGCAAAAAAAAAACAACACACAAACACATTACTCCGCTAATATCGGTTTTCTGTCGTTCGATTGGATTCTTTTGTCTACCTACAGCGACTTGGCGTCGAAGAACCGGCGTGAGAAACGGCCGGTTAAAGAGCTAAATAGTGAAGCCAACAGGGTCTAACTCCGCCCGCATATTCGCCACGACCCTTCGCGCTTACACCAAGGGTGCAGGGCACCCCGCAACCCCCGCCCGCCCGACCCACAGGCCCGTGGACGAGGAGGGGCCATTCCACGTTACTAGGGCAGGAGCCGGGCTTCTCTCCACAGGACAGCCACCTCTCCCCGAACGTAACACCGCGTTTTTGGGGGTGCGGTGTGGTGTGGTGCAAAGTGCTGTCAGTTGCCGTACCGCTCCTCGCCCATCAAGAGCCGGGGGGGGGGAGGGGGTGAGGGGGTGAGGAGGTTTTCCCACTCACGGGCTCCCTCCTCAATCAAACACACGCACGCACGCACGCACGCCCCCCCCCCAACCCACGCTCCCCGCCCATCCGCGTGCGATCCACCGACCCTCGCCGTGGGTTCGCGGAGGATCTTTAACACCCCCCGCCGCCGCCGCCGCCGCCATCATCACCATCATCATCATCACCATCATCATCGTCATCGTCATCGTCCGGTTGCGTTACCAGGGCGGAAATAAAATATTCCCCGACTCTGAAGCGTCACACCCAAAGGCTGACGTCCCAAAGAGTTGGTCCGCAAAGCTCGTCGGGCAGTCCACCTCCTCCACCGCCTCCTCCGCCTCCTCCACCAACTCCTCCTCCACCGCCTCCTCCGCCTCCTCCACCAACTCCACCGCCTCCTCCGCCTCCTCCACCAACTCCACCGCCTCCTCCGCCCCCTCCACCAACTCCACCGCCTCCTCCGCCTCCTCCACCGCCTCCTCCGCCTCCTCCACCAACTCCTCCTCCACCGCCTCCTCCGCCTCCTCCACCAACTCCACCGCCTCCTCCGCCTCCTCCACCAACTCCACCGCCTCCTCCGCCCCCTCCACCAACTCCACCGCCTCCTCCGCCTCCTCCACCGCCTCCTCCGCCTCCTCCACCAACTCCTCCTCCTCCACCGCCTCCACCGCCTCCTCCGCCACCCCCAAAGGCGGCGACCTCCGACCCCGGCACGGCAGCGTCGGGCGCAGAGGCGGCGTTGCCGCCGTGCAGCAGCTCCAAGAGGAAGTCGTCGAGGTCGTGGGAGTCGCCCCCCACCGTCGCCGCCGCCCCCCCACCGCCCCCGCCCACCCCGCCCACCGAGGTGGCGGTGGGGGGAGGCTCGGGGCCAGCGAGCCGCGCGCACAGCGCCAGCAGCTCGGCGTCGAGCCCTCCGCCATCGCCGCGGAGCTCCCCCTCCGTCGCTGCCGCCGCCCGCCGACCCGAACCGACGGGCGCCGACCCGCCGGAGCCGCTCTTCCTCCCGGTGGCGGCGGCGCGAACCGACGGAGCCACCGGCCTTCGCGGCGCCACCTCGTCCAGGGACTCCGCCTCCAGCCGCCTCCTCCGCAGCCGCCTGAGCATCTTGCGGAGTCTTCGAGTCTTCGTCGCCTCCTCCTCCTCCTCCACCGCCACCGCCGCCGCCTTCACCTCCTCCTCCTCCTCCTCGTCGTTGTCGTCGTGCCGCTTGCCATTCAGCGGCGGCGAAAACGGCCAACCCACGACAGGCCGACGACGCGGAAGACGAGGGTGGGGTTGATGAGGTGGATGGTGAGGTGGATGGTGAGTAGGTGGATGGTGAGTAGGTGGGTGTGTTGGTGGATGGGAGGCAGGAGGATGGTGTAACTGATCAGGTGGATGATGAGTAGGTGGGCGAGTTGGTGGATGAGCAGGTGGATGGGAGGCAGGAGGATGGTGTGGCTGATGAGGTGGATGATGAGGAGGTGGGCGAGAAGACTGACGAGTAGACTGACGAGTCGGCGGGTGAGTAGGAGTCTGATGAGGTGGATGAGTAGGAGTCTGATGAGTTGGATGATGATGATGATGATCAGGCGGAGGTATCGGTGAAGCCGAAAGCCCCTTGGCCCGGTAGGCGCCATACTTCACCGCGCCGCTGTTGCCGAAGG